TTTGGAAGATTTGGTTTGTCTTCATTATGTGACAGTGTACAGAATCAATAGCTAGTCCTGCAGATAATGACTCTGAAATTTTTCATTTTGCAGGAAGAAAAAGAAAAACGGTTGGAGGAGATGTTTGAATCTGACATTGACAACCCATTTGAGAACAGATATGCTCCAAAGGAAGAACTACCAGAAGATGGAGCAACAGCAATAGCAGGGAAGAAAACTCAAGAAACTTTGACTGCCACAGACTCCATTATTGATGCACTAGACATGGCTGAGGCAGAGCTGAAGCGTATTACTGAACATGAGGTATATGTTGTGCTCTGGATATTCTTTACCTACTTAAGAGGGTAGAGGTCCACTCCTACTCTTACTATTATTATTGCTATTCAATGTATATCACTGCATGCGTATCTGTCTACATGGTCAATAGAAATTGTATGAAAGTGCTTGTTTCCATATGGATCTTCTCGTCCTGTGATCAGGACTGATGGAGCAGCCTGACAATTTCATTGTATTTGACTAGTTATTTGTGGTGGTTAATTCCTTATTACTGGTGCTTCTATTGTGCTTTGTGAGACACTAAGATGGAGGAAGGAAGGGGGGGGATGGCAGAGGACGAGGGTAGTCTTGTCCTAATTGTGGATTGATTTTGCATTAAGGTTTTCTTATCTATGCATTTTAAATTTTTAGGAGGAGATTTCTATGGGAAGAAATGCAGATTTGCGCCCAAATATTCTTTTGCTTGGGCTTTCTCCATCAGAATATGTTCTTCGTGCACTTTCTAATGTCCACACAAATGATCTGGAGCAGACTTTGATGGTAAGTTGGCAGTCAAAATTTTATTTCTTTCATGTAGCTACCTGTACCTTTTGCATGTTGTATGTTAAATGTCATGTCATCATTTATGCAAGGTACCCTGGCGTAGACATGTTATAGATTAAAAAGAATTATATCATAACAGAAACAAGATATTTATTTAAGTGTTCAAAGGCACTTCATTTTAAGTCTAGAACAATTTGTTTGCCCGTTTGAACATCTCTTTCTTCTTTCAGCAGAAAAGGGGTCTTTTGCAGACATAAATATCTGACCTTTTAGTGATCACAATTTAGTCTTAATTAACTAATCTAGACAGCTTTAAATATCGTATGACTTAATAACTCCCTGCCCGTGGTAGTTATTAACCGAGTCTCATTGTTTTCAGTGTATAGAAACAGTATATATTACTTTACATTACAATACTAGCCCTTTTTTATTGAAGATAGATTTTATGCAGTTGTGGGTTTCTCCTTGCAGGCCCTCCCATTCTCAGATGCATTAAAGCTTTTATCTTACTTGAAGGACTGGGCCTCCATTCCTGATAAGGTCAAGATTCTCATCCATAGATTCAAGATATATGCTTAACTTTTCAAATTGGAATGTTGAGCATGAATCAAGTTTTTTGGGGTTATGTAACATGCAAAGCTGTTTTTGTTCTGGTTTTTAGTCCTAATTAAGCATTGTCCTTTCTCTGTAATGGCAGATTGAGCTTGTCTGCAGGGTTGCTACAGTGCTGTTGCAACTGCATCATTATCAGTTGATTTCTACTGTTGCTGCCAGACCTATCTTAACTCATCTGAAGGACATTCTTCATGCAAGAGTCAGGGTAACTTTGGCCGTCCATTACTTTGAAATTCATTTTCTGCACACAGTCAAATTCCAATTGTGCCGTGCATATGAATTCTCTGTACCTCTCAAGAAATTAAAGAAGAAACAATTTTCATGACCTCTTCATTAAAGAAATTGGGTTTCTGAAAATGAAGTCTTTATGATTCTGTATACTAGGATGCTTTGAATTAGTAATTTGCAATCTCTGAGCTTTAACCCTAGTGGAAACAAGAAGAGGTATTTCCTTTCTTTGGTTTTTTGTCTTCATTTTTGTCATTTTGATCAGCACTTGTGCGAATAACCACATTGAAAAAGGATGAGATTATATATTTGTTAAAAGAGATGAAATTATCACAAAAGGTTTGAAGTAGCTTATCATTTCTAACCGATGCGTGTTGATGGATATTAAAACATTTCTTCTGCAAGCTTAACCTGCATGTGAACTTGCCTACTTGGTTCTTCACTGAAACAACTTAGATTGAGAACTAAACATTCAGGTATTGATGTCTTTGCCATTTACAGGAGTGCAAAGATACACTTGGTTTTAACCTTGCAGCAATGGATCATCTGAAGGTAAGTGCTTTTCACACCTAGAATGGTTGTCTTTTTAATAGATGAGAGAAGGCTGTCAGTCTCCTCTGATTCTTTGGCTTTTTAATTTTTCTTCAGCAACTGATGGCTCAGAGATCAGAAGCACTCTTTATGGACGCAAAAGCTAGATTGTTAGAAATACGATCACAATATGCACGTCGCTTTGAAGCAAGATCAGAAACAAAGACAGAAAAGAGAAAAAGGAAGAAGCAGAAGAAATCTGATAGTGAACATGTTTGGTCCTGACTTGCATCCATGACATATCCCCAGTACATATGCTAAATCCACACATTAACAGGACAACACTGCAAACCATGATGTAAAAATATCAAAGGGTTTCCTGAAAAAAAAAAGAGGAGTAAATTCCAATCATACCTCATTGTCTTGGCAGATGAAGGGACTGGGGAATGCTTTCCTTCCCCATTTTGGGCTGTCTTTGTGAACTCTGGGACCTCACTCAAACATCTGTCTGCTGCAGAGTCAACTCTGGCAGTTCAGGTGGTTGTAAATTAGTGATGCTAGTCTCAAGATGTAACTTGATTATTGTGCAACTTCCAAGCTCCTTTGTTCGAGAGATGATTATTTTTACCAGAAGAAACGTATTATAAGCAAGTTTTTCTAGTTTAGATTTGGTTGTAAAGAGAGATGACTCTTAAATGAAGCACAAAACGGCATTTAGCGCATAGATTGCTGATCCTTCGCATAGATCTGGGATGTCTCTTTTGGCCGACATCAGTTGAACTCATGGATGTTTGGGTGATTCTTTCCGTGTTAGCAGTTAGTATATAGTTTCTCAAACAAGCTGCATATGACTAGTTAATATTGACAGAGTTGACATGCTATAGGTGCTTCTTAATCTGACGAAAACTTCTCTAGTCATGCAAGGTCATACCCGGGCTTCAAAGCCTGGGCCAATATTTCTTTTATTTAAGCTAGTCTCTGCATTTCATTGCGTTTGGAGCAGTAGGCACTTGCTCATCCAAACGCGGTGGTAATTATCCAAAAGAGTAGAGTCAGATGATGAAATAGAACCTCCGATGCCGTAATCTTCCAACAAGCATTGGCTGGTAACTATGCAATGACAAGAAAAGTAGGAGAATAAAAGTAAAAGAAAAGTAGGAGAATGCAGAGCAGAAATGCATCGGCTGAATCCCTTATTCTTCAAAGCAAAATAATTGCCCTCGAAGGTTTGACGGGATTGCCACTTTTAAGGAGCATGTATGCAAAGAAATTGACGTTTCCTTCCATCGCTTGTTGCAACTCGAAAAGAAAGTGTCTGACAAAACAACTTGGCATCGGACTGCCATTTCTGACCCCAGTTGCTCTTCAAATGTATCCAGTTGGATTTATCAGCTCCTTGTACCTCCACGCGCGTGACATCTCCAGCCCCTCCAACGTTTCTTACCAATACCAAATAGAAGTAAGGGTTCCCTGCTATGGTGAAGCAGATTCCTTCTTGTTTCTTGCATGGAACCTGCATTGTTAGACCTCAAGTTCTTTATTCATATTATATCTTGAGTGTACAGGCAGAGAGGCATTGGTAATATCAATAATGAGAATAATACATGAAGATTCTATTGTGCATGAATGATCAATTCTGTGGTTTGAACGTATCCATTTTATTTTTTTTAATGCAGTACTACTAATTTTATACAGAACATAAGACTAAGGACCTGCGATATTGTACAGGAAAAATTGCCAGCAATTTGAAGGAATTCTGGATTAGACAATTCAAAATGCTCTCGTGGGGGGTTGCACTTGCACCAGCCTCGTGTAATTCTGTAGATTGTAATCAGGTGCACAAAAATTGGTGGCCGTGACAAAGAGTGATGGTTGGCCCGGCTTACACCATTGAGGATCGTCTGCACATTTTATTTCGCTCCACAAGTCTGCCCATTATTGAACAGTACAGTGCTCATTGCCGTGTTCCGTTAAGTGTTAATTAACCAAGAGCCTTACCTGTATTGGTCTTGATACCCGCAAGCTCCCATGCATGCAAACTTTTCGTCTTAAACACTTACATCTTAAGCAATGAAAGGTAAATTTATATATATATATATATATATATATATATATATATACTAACTCGGTCGTAGTCCGAAAGCCACCAGGCCATGGTGCACCATGCATGCATTAGGACGTGAGGAAAAGTGTAAATAATATATAGTTAATGTCATCCACGTAGCCATCGTTCCTGAGCAATCAGTTCCTCCGTAGAAGGTGGCACGAGCATTCTTCCATGGACCGGACGCGAACATTGGCTTTAGATGATCACAGGAAATCCTGCTCAATTCTGATGAATTTGAGGAGTGCAGCACAAAGCACAATAACGAGAACTAGTAGTATTAAAGGAAGTGAGAAAAATGATTGCGAATAGCAGCCATGATCAGTTGGGCTTGTGATTAAGGATTTTATAATATCGTTGTTTGATTCTGTCAGCACATATAAGATCAGCTGCTTCTTTACCATCAGACAATCGACTTTTTTGAAGACCTTCGAGGCCTCAGCAATTGTACATTATATAAACCAGATCTTTACGTTTTCAAGATCTATTGTAAGTTGGAAGGAAGCTGCCGTACATATGATGCAGACACTAGCTATACCTTTGGTCGAAGTTTCCCACCAAGCATCCGTCCCCATCATCGTTTGTATTCTTTATAAGCTTGCCATAGCAACATTGGATCAGAATAATTCGTGTGTATTTGAGCCAGAGAACCATAAACAATTGTTTGTAAAGATTGGTATTGGCAATTTCGTAGAAGTATGACTGAGATACAATCAAAAAGCAAATGCACTTGCGGTTTAAGGTTTAGATTAATCCTTTCAAAATTTGTTGGTTAATGAATAATGTTGGTCTTTTCCCGGTTCCGGCACATGCATGATTCCGACCCATATAATTAAAATTCTCAAAAGAAAGAATAACTCCAACGATTTCCATCAGGAGCTGAGTTGAAAAGAAGCAGGTGCTCTTGATTTCACCTCTATCTCTTCTACTTGAAGTTCTTGCCTTCGAATGTTTGACCGAACTGCCAATTTCGCGGGGTAATATGCCATGAAGTGGAGGTTCTACCATCACTTGCCTTAACTCTGAAGGAGAGCGACTCCCCAGTTAACACGGTATGAGTCTGCCATTTCTGACCCCAATTTCGCTGCATTGGAGTCCAATTTACATTGTTGTCGCCCTTCACCCGTACGCTCGTAACATCTCCAGCTCCTCCAACATTCCATACCAAAACAAGGGTGAAGTAAGGATTCCCTGTAATCGTGAATCGAATTCCCCCCTTCTTAGCGCACGGAACCCTGCAACAAAAGAAAGGCCCCTTAATACAAGGCAAAAGAAAATACGGTATGATTAGCTTTGACGCATGTATGCAGTAATATATAGTACCTCCGATATTGAACAGGGACAATGCCGGCTTGGTATTCAGCAATCTGAAGAAACGCCGCCTGTGCCAGATCAAAATGCTCGCGCGGTGGGTTGCACCATCCTCCGTTATCGCTGGATAAAGCATAATTTGGTGGGCAATTATTGGTAGCGGTAACAAAGAGCGAAGGCTGCCCGGGCTTACACCACTGGTTGTCGTTGACACATTTTATTTCGTAACAGGCCCCGCATGTTTGGCCATTGTTGAACAAAGCTTGGCTCAATGCAGCTGTCTCCAAGCCGTAACCTTCTTGTTTGAGATCCCCATAACCACACGCTCCACCTATACAGTATTCAATCTCTCCCTAGTTATTTACTGGAGAGATATGCAGAAACTTTGGAGCCATGCATGCCATGCATGCAGGCGCGTGGTGATATATCATATATGGTGCAACTACGGGAGAATGGATCAATACGTAAACGAGGATCCAGAAAGGTTACGTACCCATTGTTCCTGAGCCATCAGCGCCTCCATAGAAAGTAGCATGAGCGCTTTTCCAAGGGCCAGGACTGAAACGTGGCCTGTGATGCTTGGGCTGTGAAATTGGAGACCGGTGGCCCCTCCATATGGGGGAGGTGATCCTGTTTTCGGCATTTACATTATGTGAAAAAAGCACGAAAACGCTCCAGGACAGAAAAGATACTACTGCCGGAGAAAGGGATGCCATGGTAAGCGATGCTTGAGAGAATTACGGGACTAACGCAATTATTAGAAAAATTTATAGTCTGTTTCTTTATCTATTGGTTGGCGGGGACAGCCATAAAATGGAGGGATGGAAATGCTTTACAAGTTTTTACCGTTGGTGAGGGTTAATCTGCTCCTCGCTCTTCACCTTCTACCTTTCTCTGTGAACTAATTCGATTTAATCGCTTCGGGCTGGCAAGCCCTCCCTGGCTTTTTACCTTGCAACTCAATAATTTCTCCATTAACGGACTCTATTTAGACAGCTCCCCTTGCCAATTCTACCTGGCACCCAGGCTGGCAAACCCTCCCTGCATCCCCAACCACAGAGACAAATCCTCCCTCGTGCCTTCATGGAGTTAGAGTAAGTTGGGAATCGAGCATATCGAAATTGCACTTGAGAGAAGGCTTTGATTCCATTTGCCAAAAAGGATAATCTCATGCCATTTTAACGTTCATGCTATGGCGATCCTTTTTCTGACCTTGTCCCGCGTACTGCAGATCCAGCAACTTAGACTTGACTTCTTGTGCTGGAAATGAAGATGATTTTGATGTGTTGCTAGAGGACTCCTTGAACTCTGGTCTATAATTTATGAAAATGTTCTTTATGAACGATGAAATTAAACGGTCTATTTGTCAAGATTTGTCAAGAAAAGTAGCATTCCTTCAGCGAATTATGGAGGAATTTTCTCCTGGGCGGAGGGGGTAAAAAAGCCGAATTTCGACTTTTGTATTATGTTGGTTTAGAAACTAATGTATGGTAAAGTATTAGAAAGAAATTATAATCTATGATTTCTACGAATGTAATGTGATATCCTGCAGGCAAGTCGAGAATATCTGCCAAGTTTTTCAGTTTTGGCACCATGTTGATTTAGTGCTTCACAATTTCTGAAAGCTTTTCTACGATAATTGTCTGCAATTAAAGTAATTATTGCAAACATGTTCTGCCAAACGCACATCCGGGCAAAAACAGACCACTTGGAAATAGAATTATTGTGAAACAATTGGTCCTGAAATCATAGTTAGGAGGCATGAAATAGAGTTATAGCAGAATAAATCAACAAAACTGGTGTTTCAAAGTCTTACCAATGCAGTGACTTTATTATTCAGCTGTTCTTTGTCGAGAAATCTAACTAGGTCATTAAAGTCACCTCAGTATCTGTGTATAAGTTTCTTGTATGCATCCTTGTTCTCGGCATGGTACTTGATTTCAGCCTGCAAAACAGAGTAGGTTATGCCTCCTGCCATAGTATATTTTAATAGAACAATACAGTACCTAACTCAATTTGACCGGTAATCCCGTTATTGCCTACTCAAGTTCCCAAGGCCATACAAGGACACAAAGTTTATTCCTGAAGTTTCTAATCATAGGCTTTAATCTTAATTCATTAACATTAACCAGGAACACAAGAAGAAAGCAATCTGAACCCATACCTTTCTCACCCCCTTAATTGCAGTTAAGAGCTTTTCACCAATCAAATCCCTCATCAGAGTGTCCTTCTCTAGAGCTTCTAGAGATTCAGAAAGACACTTTGGCAATCTTTGAATTTCTTCTTTGAGATTATCCGGATTTTGATCTGTATGGTTGAATAAGACAAGGTTTCAGCACATCCAAACAGCATGTCTTATTTGTACATGAACAGTATGAAATGGTGTGTACTAGCAAGTAATCCACTCTTTGCCCCAAGGTTGCAGTTTAAAAAAGTACCACTATTTTACCTATTCCTGCTTAGTCATCCAAGCACATTATGTACCATAGTTGCTCCTTAATAGAATTGTATGAGCAAATAGTTTTGCAACGCATATTCATACAGAACTTGCATTCTTTTCTGTTGTCACCTTGGTGCCTACCATCAAAATATGGTACACATATCTAAAAGAGAGAATTAAGTAGCTTGATTATTACATCCCCCAAAACAGATTTGAATACTAATGTGGTCCACCCTCTGGTTTTCAAGATACAGCAAGATCCAGCAGTTACTCTCTTATTTCAAGAGACTTAAGCTTTCTAGGCCCTCTAAGCTTACAAAATCTCATTAAGCAATTTACAACAAACTGTTGTTCTCATAGGGATGATAAAATATATTGCCACCAATATAGCTGATGAAAAAAGCTGACTAACAAATTTGCAGAGGATAATATGGTCTTACCAACAGGTTTAGGTAGCTTTAAATGTCTGCGAAGACCGTCAAGCCCTGCAACAATTATAGAAGCCAAGGCTAAATAGGGGTTTGCACACCCATCACACACTTTGATCTCAAAGTTGCTCACAGCACCATTTGGCACACCAGGTGGGCATGCAGTTCTTAGTGGAGCCTCCCTGTTTTCTTTACCCCAGCAAAGGTACGCTCCACTCCATGTATTTGGCTGTATCCGATCATAACTGCCAACCAAGACACATAATGATGAATATCCAAGATGACCCTATTCAAACGTTATTCATCCATCATGTCAAAGATACAGTCCGGAAGCAGAAAAACAACAATAATTCTTTGAATTGTTTTCCCCAAGGCAAGCTGAAAACTGCATTGGCGCTATTTCATCTAGGGGGAAAAAAAACTTTACAGATTATTTTCTCAATCACGTGGCTTTTTTGATAATGATAATTCTTTACTATTTGATACGGTCTAAAACTAGCATTCCTTTATTCTGAAGGTGAGCTGAGTATATTCAAACAATAATAAGTCGCCTATCTGACGCTTCAGATGCTTTACTAAATTGCATTATACTCTCATTATAAAGGCAACTGAGGATAAACACAGCAGAAACTTATATACATGTAAATTGCTTATCACTGCTTGAGGCTTTATAAATCAACCTATAGCAAGGGGTAATTACCATTTTTTTAAAATATCATATAGAGAGAAATTTGCCGAGAAAAAGGATGGGTTCTAATAGAACTAGTAGTCCAACATCCTTAATAAGGCAAGATATTAGAACCAATAGACGGGGTTTCCACACAATTAAGGGAGGAACAAATCATCATAATATGACTTGCATATAATTTTGTAGCACTATTAATTTGAGATGCCTGCTTGAAATTTTGAAGTTGAATAACTCAAATACTACAGCATAGACTTCTCATGGACAATGCAACATATATAATTGATTAGCATTACTGAGCATAGGATTACCTATTGGGAATTGGTGCAGTAAATACCAAAATCGAAGGAAGATGAGTTAACACCCCAGCCATGAACTCCTCCCCAACATTGGACATCCCATGCTCAGTTGATTCACCTCGAGCCATGAATACATTTTCTCCATTCTCAGATAAACTGATGTGAACATGTGACCCAGAGCCAATGTCATCCAATGCATACCTAGAAACAAATAGGGATGTAAGGCCATATGATGGCAGTGTTTACCATTCATTATGGTTAAGATGCATTACAATCTTCCCACCACACAGGCTTGTGCTCTAATAAACGGGTAAAAATGATCCTTCTCAATGTGTACAAGGGTAAAGATTCTGAAACCGTATGCTCTCATCAGAACTAGTTGATCAACGAGCTCTGGAACTTATAACCTTTGACATGCTAGACTGTAAAGCTAAACATGGATGTCCTTTCACTGTTCACGGTGCTAGTGTAATAGTCCAATATAGGTTCCTGTGGTAGTTAGTTTAACATGTATAAAGAGATATTCTATCTCCTGTACAAACTTACCTGCTCCATATCAATAAAAGTTACAGTTTTGCCTAAAAAAAATGATAGAGAACTGAACCTCACACTGGTCAAATATATCAGCAAACAAACAGCCTGCTTGATAAGATAATAAAATTTCTGAAAGGACTGCAACATAAATTGATGCAGCACACAATGCTTGTAGCAATCCATCTAATTATAAAAAGCATAATAAACATGGGCTAAATGCTTAAAATTAGCTAGTAAATTTATAAAAGGCGTAAAAAAGCTTGGTCTTTTCAAGTTAACACAACATAAATCCAACAGAGAGAAATGACAATGCATCAATCATTAAACCAGAGAGGATGTATCAAAAATGACTTAATGTTCAAATGTAAACTATGCAAAGTTAGCAATTTTTGCTATAGATGTTAATTAACTGTAACATAGGACCTTTTCAAAACTTGGTTAGATGATTCTAGGACAGTTTTGTTGGTAAACTTTTTAACTCTTCAAATATTTTTCTCCTACAAAATTAAGTGAATACAACAAAAACTGAGAATCTCCTTTTCCACAAACTTAAACAGATAGCAAATGAAATTGAGAAAACGTGAATGCTTACTTCGGCAAAAAAGTAGCCAGGAGTCCATGTTTCCTTGCAACAGCTTTAATTGTTTCACGTGTAAAAACTAAGTTGTCAGCAGCTTTAGTACAAACTGTATATCCCAAGGCCATTTCGAATTGACCATTTCCAGCCTCCGCATGTAGCTATTTAAAAAACCAAAAGAAGTGTCATTGGTTCAAATACAGTTAAGATTTTGAAACCTTGCAGATGCTAGTATGGGCATGTCCACAAAGGCAGAGAGAGAGAGGGGTGAAAGAATAACAGAATCTTGAATATTAAGCTTCAACTTAGCAGATGCGGTCAACTATGATAAAAAAAGAGTATAAATTTGTGATCCAAGACTATAAAGAACTAAGCAAATATCTTCCAGTCTACCTGTTCCACTGTAATATTCAAGGACTGCAGAGAAGATGTCACTTCCTGAAGTATAGGAAATACCGCATCAAATGCTGATGTAGAGCAATAAGGTTTTGTGTCAAAAGGTACCCATTCTTCTTTCTCCTCCCTGTGGACTTCTTGATGAGAAACAATGACTCTTAAAACAGAGAGAGGAGTGAAAGCAAGTGCGAGAACATAGACTCCTAAAAAAATAAGCCTATTATACCTTGCAATATTTCTCAAGAGAACAAACTCGTTTTCAAATCCTGCATTCATTACCTAAACATGAAGCATTTAATGAATCATAGAAGTGAAAAATCAGTTCAAATCTTAAATCAGACATATACCAGACTTACCAAGTTAAATTCATCTCTCAAGAGTTTAGAAACCCGTCTTAGTGCTTCTCTTGGGCAATATTCCCAAGCTTCACCTGGTGTAAGATGCATATCACCTAGAACCATTTCCTGCTGTTTTGCCCTGTATCAAAGAGTGACTCAAGGATAGTGTCACAAATGGTTTTCCAAAGATAGAATAACCTTTGGTCAGAAGATAGAACTTGAATGAATTGCATGACAAATCAAGTAGATTAACAGTTTTTACATAGAACAATGCAACTACTACCCTCCTCTAACAACTTACATCTAGATATTAAGGTCTACAAACTAATTGAAAGTGCTTGCTGTAACTCAAATCTATTATCCATATTATATATCACTCCCATATTTTCAAAAAAAAAAAGGTTCTATAGAACTAGAGTCCACCAAAGTCTAGTAAGAAAGTCAAGCTATTAGCATGGTTGGAAACCTAAATACCATTGAGCATGACATGAATGTCATCTTAGTTATGAAGTTTTTGATCCATAGTGACAAGGCCGCCAAACACATTAATTCCAAACACATTAGTTATGAAGTTTTCCTGGTACCTGCATCCAAGTAAGATACATTTCACATCTGTTATGTCAAGCCTATCCATCTTATTCACCTCAATCATGGTATGATTCAATGTCTTGGAAGGTAAATGGAAGACAAATTGGTGATCATGCAATCAACCATTTATTTATGCCTTCATCATTTTTGTTGCAGTTTTGCAGTC